ACATAAGAAAGTGATTTTTATTTTTTTTTTAATTTTTTTTTTAAAGTCTGATAGCTTTTTTCATTGGCTGTTACTGGACACTTCTAAATTATTACAGTCTCTCTCTCCCTCTCTCTAACTCTAACTGCAAGGCATTTTTATGTGATCTTGGACAGCAATTTAGCTAAATTGTCTTTATAAATGCCAAGAGGAGGTGCAGTTTCTTAGGACTGCATTGCTCTAAAAATGCGGAGAGTGAAACTTTGAAAGACCTATGGTATTATTAGTATGTCTTGTGATAATTACTGAACTGAGATGCCACCACAAAACTGAAAATCTCTTAGGTGTGACAACTGGTACTGGCTGGTCTTAGTAGTCTGTTGGTGAGATCAGTGGAAAACTTGTTATATTTGCTTTCGTCAAAAATCCGAACTTAAGCTACAGATATTAAAAAAGTTGGAAGTGTTGTAGTTGGTTATGATGTCATTGAAATTTATATGCAGAATGTGGCTGAAATAAACACAGGTTTATATAATATAATCTGTTTTACAGTATATATATTAACAATGCAGGCTACAATTAAGTAGTGTAGGAAAGAAAGATGATGAAAAACTTTAAAAAGTAGATAAGGTAGAAAGAAAATTTTGTAGGTCATTCTTGCAGAAAAGAATCTTAAATTATATAAGTGTTGTGGATTCAATGAATCTGACAGTCTCTTTCTTGTTAAATAAAGGGCTGAATTGTTCAGTTCTTGAATGTTTTTTTTTTTTTTTTTCCCATCATATTTATAAAGGAAACTAACTTTTTTGTGTGTCAATTTTTAAATGATAAATATGATCCTTCTTAGGAATTGAGTGAGATGACTTTTTGTTCCCCATTACTGTTGCTAAGTGCTGTTATTCTCATAACAAAATCTAAGGCAATTGGCAGAATGCCTTCATCTGTATTGATAAATACAATGCATAAATACAGTAACTCATAATCAGAATAATACTGTCTGTGACAAGTGGCAATGCCAAAGAAATTTCAGCATTCAGAGGAATCTTTTAATTTTACTATTTATGTGGTATGTATGATCCTATCTTGGCAAAGGTTTGATCAATCTGGCCCTCCTTACTAATATAACATGACAATTTAGTTGCATATTGAAATATTTGTAGCATCCAGATGCTGACAGAAAAACATGAGAAACCAAAGTCCTGTTCCAGCCCCACAGTCTTCATAGCTTATTTGCTGGCTTATCTCAATTACTGAAGGCATGTAAGTAATGACTGACATGTCTCACTTCATCTACATTTTTGCTAACATTCACTGGTTCTAGTAAGTCTATCATCTTCTTCGTTTAGTACATCTTTTTCCCTTCCTATAAATTCTTTAGACTGTTAGAAGCCAGTAACACACAAAGGGTTGCCCTTCTGTGTTGGTACAATGAGCTTCTGTGCAGACTACAACTGTCAGTAATTGGCCATTAATTTACTTTGTTTAGTAACGAGACTTCACATCGTATGTGTGAATATGTTCCTTATATTCATCCATCTTTTTGAAGTGTGTACTGTTGATTCTCTTAAGATTCTCTGCCTCTTTTCATACACCCAACCATGCTCAGAGAACAAATGTATTCTATTTCCAGTTTCTCAAAGTATTATTTGTACATAATATATCACCATTCAATTTATGAGGAAAAGAGTTAGGTTTTTAATTTAGGAAATGAAAAACCCAAATTTCATCTGCAGTGTAATAAAATAGGAAAATCCCATTGATAATTCAGTGTTTTACATGCTAATGAAAGCTAAGTATATACTCATAAAGGAAGAGATGTTTTTTCTTGGCTGTCTTACAAAGAATGCATACTACATTTCCTTGAGGAAACAGGAAGTGAGGTGGACCTACCTTTGATTTGTTTGAAATCAAACTTGTGATAGAATTTTCAATACATTTCACAGTGTAATTACAAATCTATCAGATATATATCAATGGATATTTAGAAGGAGATCACATGTTTACACATAGATTTATTTTTTTTTTAATCAAAATAATGAAACCATTCTGAATTATCATTTTACAAAGATGATTTTGTTCACCAAGATTTTGAGTAAGAGACTTTGAACCTGTTTGCTCAGCAAGTCTTATCTGTGAGTGGCCCAATATAAAGTGAGGGCACAGATTCAGAGAGAAAATGGTAAACTGCTAATTTATTCTGAACAATTACTGCATGAAACCAAGGTTAAAATGAAAAAATTATGTTGCTTTCTTTTCCTCTCCAAGAAAGTTGACACAGGGCTTCAACAGGTTCATGTCTTAGAACATAAATGAGATTATATTACATTTCATGTAACTGAGTGAAGATAAATTGACATCAGTAATGATGAGCGATTAGTGCCTCCCGTGACAAGGACTGAATCTGCTTTAAGTCAGGCAAATAAGGGAGGATTAATTTCTGTGTATTTTATTGGTAGCACACAACAGAATTAGTAATGCAAGTATGAGTTCAGCACCATGGAAGACAGCAAATGGACAGCTTTTAAGCTGTCTGTTATTGTTCTTGGTTTACTGGGAGTTGAGGATCCAAATCTATTAAGTTATTTGCCCCTTCTCAACCTTATTGTACAAACCCGTAGTGTTATGCTGCTGGACATAGGATTTTAGAGATTTTGGACATATTTATTAAAATGTATAAAAAAGAGTAATTTATTTTTTTTTTGGATGACTTTGTAGCAATTTTCCTTGTAATTGGTTACTACATTTCTCACTGCAAGGTGTATTCCTTTCCAAAAGTTGCTAAATTGTACACAGAGGAAGACTTACGGCTTTCAATTTGAAATACATCATAGTTAATGTGTAGACTTGGCAAACTTTCACTCTCTCTCCTTATGGAGAAATGAAGGAATGATCCCTAACACCCGTTGTGTTTTCCAAAGGGATTACTTCCACTCCTGAGTGATTGAAGACATGAAATTCAACATTAGCCTAAGCACAGAAGAAAGGGATGACATTGCCAGAAGTGTAAAGGACCTGAGCCCTCCAGTGCACCTAGGTGCCAAAATATCTGGAAACAAAGTTTCAAACTGATTATATATATGCATTAATTTCTTGTTCTTAACATACAGGATGCAGCAATAATTTTATTTGATTATAGTTTGATAATTTATGGGAGATATTAAGTGCAAAAGTCCTGCTGTAAATCAGTGGAGTTACTCTCTTAAAGAACCATCTTTTCAACTACTTTTATTTCTTCGTATTTGAAGAAATGGTAAAAATCACATGCACAAATATGTATATATATATATTTAAACAACAAAATATTTTAGTCAGTATAGGTAAATGAGTTCTGTTGATAAGGACTTAAAAGACTATAGGAAAATTAGAAAGGTTCATCACAATGTTCTGAAAAATCTGTTAATTTATTTAACAAGATTTGAAAGAAAGCACTTTGGCCAGGTTCCTGAACTGACACTCTTTTTTCCTTTTTTATTATAGATCTTTAGAAAAATTTGTTAATTTACTCACACCCCTGTTTGATACTAGCTTATTGTTAGAGTTCCTGATGGTATATCTCCTGGTATTACAAGATTTTGAGTCTAGACAGGTGAATCCAGGCTGTCTGTCCTCTGAAAAGACAATTTCAAGCAAGGAAGAGGGACACTTTCCAAAACAATGCTTGTTGCTGCAGAGAAAGAAGAAATCATCATTTTGAAGTTCATCATTAAATAAACTTTCAGTTCTCAGAAACCGCTGTTCATTTATAGGATTTTACTAGATAGCTGTCCAAAAAAAAAAGGGGTCACTGTGCCTTCACCCAGCAACACATTAATAACTTTAAACACAAGTGACTGGATTCTAATCATGACTTTAAGGGTTTTGTTTGACTGGAGATGTACTGACTTCTTTTTGGCACCAATCTCATTCTTTCTCTGAAAGAAGTTAGGCACGAAATTAGAAGCCTTAATTCACTTCATTGTTCAGACAACAATACCACATACAGGGCTGTGCTGATGGAGCTTTGCAAGGCTCAGTAAGACCTTTTTAATATTGAGGAAAACAGTACTATACATGACTTCTGTTAATTAGTGCTTGATTTGAAGATCCTTACAGTTCTATCAACTTGGCCTGACCCAAACCATCATCCCATCAAGAATATAGCCATTTAGAGTTCTTATTTTCAAATTCAGTTCAGCTGTTACTCCTTGCCCATGAGGCTTCCTGTAGACTGTGGATGGCAATCATTTCTTGTAAGTGTGTCAGTAGTCTGTTTGGTAACTGGGACCAGGAAGTCATTTTGAAGCAGTGAGTAGATCTTTAAAGTTGAAATAATAACAGAAAAAATGGACTGTTCTCTAAGAGAGAGTACCATCCTGCTTCAGCCATCTTCCAGATTGTTTTTTGGGGGGGGGAATATGGTGGTGACTTAGCCCAGCTCACATACAGTAGATCTTCAGGGAGACAGGGGAAGGTCTTTAGATAGGGAGCCATCTCCTGTAACAGGAAAGGTGAATATGGCCTTCCTTCTTTTCCAGAGCTCACCACGATGTTGAAAAGGCAGGTTTCTTTCATCCCCTGAGCTGCACCCAGCTTCTACCCTGATCATAATTCCTATAATGTCTCCTCTGGTGATTGTAGGAGGCATGAAGTAGCTGCTATACTCGTGAAGATCTACATGGCTTCCTTTTCTGATATTCCCCCTTTACCTTGCTTTAGAACAGCTTTAGTTAATTACCTAAATGGTCCATGTGAATCAGATTGGAGAATATAAGATTCTTTCCATATCAAAGAATGTTTTCCAGTAGGATTAGACAGTTTTTCTTTGAAAAAAATATTTTAAAAAATCGTGGCTCACTTCAGGAGTCTTATTTTCCAGAATCCAACTAAATACAGGGAAGCAAACTGGATTTACAGTATTGTTTTTCATCATTTTCTTAAGGTAGAGTGTTGGGGTTCCCCAGCTGCTGTGAGTATATACTGCTTTATACCACTTTGCTGCCTCCTCAGCAGCCTATCATTGCCTCCTGTGCAGATGCATAAAAGAAGCTATTGGTAGAGATGATTACACACACCAGACAGGGTGTGTGGGACCATTGTTATAAGGAAAAGTCAAACTGAAGGACTAATTTTTCCTCATAATATATGTTGCTGAAAAAGAAAGAAAGAAAAGATCTCTAGGTCTCTGTTTTGGAACAGGTATAGAAAAAAAAATACAAGAAAAGTAAAGAACATCTCATATTGGCGGGACATTAGAATTCTCATTGTGTGACTGCATATGTCTTTGCTAGTTGTAGTGCTTTTTGTTCTTAAGCTGAGAATCAAATGTAGCAGTATCCTGAACCTTTATTACAAGAAACTAATTTAATGACACTGTTTATTTATTTATTTATTTATTGGTTGATTGTTTGATTGAAGTGCACATGGACAGAATCTATTCATGGCAGTCTTGATGAGCATGATGCTCATCTTGAGCAAGATGAGCAAGAAATGGAGTTAGGACAGTTTTTGAACTCGGACACTAAAATGTCAATTAAAAGACAGTAGTCTTTATGGGTAAAAGATGCCAGAGAAAACTTGGAAATCCTGTAGTAACCAACCTCTGTTGCGGATTTCCTGATGATACTCTTTTCTGTTTAGATGGGAAAGATGGTTTCATTAGACTGTTGGAGAATATTTTTACAGAAAGTTTCCCATGAGAAGTTCAGATTTACCTTGTTAAAATTAAACAGGTTATTAAAAGGTCTTGGCTGAAGCAAGGCTATGGGAACCTGGTTCAGTGACTCTGCTTTCACACCTGAATACTTATAAAGTAAAATGTGTAAGACCTCCAAAGCTTTATTCCTAATTTCTCTATTCAGAGAACTGGTTTGATAATGGCTAAATTTTGTTTTCTCTCTGAAGAATTTATTTTAAAAGTGTTAGCATCCTGACTGGAAAAACAACATTTCTTAATGCTATTTATTTATTTATTTATTTTATTTTTTTTATGTAGATCCAAAAGTGTTTGCCAAGAGTGTTTTCTTGAACAGACAAATGGGACAGTATATCACCCAAAGAAGCTGTACTCTCTGAATGTATTTGAAAATGAGTCAGAATAGCACATTTGGAAGACAAGTTGGATAGGGATCACTAAGTTATTTGCAAGACAGGAGACTTTTGCAGACCATCATTACAAACTACAAAGAATGAGAGGTAGAGGGTATTGGAACTGAATTATAGACTTCAATAACTTGTGCAGAATCATGGCTGTAGTCTATTTGAGTCAGCATCTCTGTAATGATGGACTATCTGGATATTTACCTGCTTCATCAGCCTGTTTTCAGGTGAATAACACATATTTTCCTAAGTTAAAAGTTGAAACAGAGGGATTCTAAATGGATGTAAGCAAAAACATTTTCACTTTGAGGACAACTAGGCATTGGACCAGGCATTGCCTGTAGAGATTGTGCAGTCCCAGATTGTGCAGATCCCTGGAAGGTTTTTTGGGGAAAAAACAAACAAACAAAAAAACCAAACAGGTAAAAGAATGAACTTGAAGAACTTGACAAATAAAATATGATTATATGACTCTTTATGTAGTGTGGTATGTAGTCAAAGTATGTACATACAAGTATGTAGTCGAAGAAATGCTTTTTCTTGAAATGTTATATTCTGCAATGCCATAGGGTCTGCTGAAATGTAGCCTATAAAAATAATTGCTGAATGTATCCCAGCATGAGGGTTTTTCCAAGGTAATCAAATTAGGTTCTGGTACTTACTCATTTTAACATTGTTTTTTAATTCATGCTCTTAACTGTCTTTTAAGTCAGTCCTCATGCAATCTTGATTGAATTTGAACTGATTCAATAAAAATGCAATTAAAATTGTTTGATGCACAAATGTTTAATATTTTGACTAATAAGTTTATTTATAAAGGTTTGCAGATGGGACCTAGTGATATACAGGAGAGGTTGTAAACATTTAAAATGAGGAGACTACTGGAGCTAAAATAATTATCTTTGGGTAGTGAGATCTTAAGATATTCACAGAGGACTCCTCTAGGTAAGTTAAGTTTCTCTGTAGGCACTTGCTTCCATTTGAACACAGACAGAATCTCTGTTTGTTTGTTTGTTTGTTTTCCCTTTACTTTCCCCTCCCAAGTTTCCCACAAAAAAAAAAAAAAAAAAAAAAAAAAAAAAAAAAAAAACCAAAAAAAAAACAAAAAAAAAGGTTTAAAAAAGCATATTTGTGTAACTTTGAGATTTATGAAAAGTTAGCTTTTTTTGGTTGGTTATGGGGGTGGACTGTAATTGCAGGCATTTCAACAGTAAGTTGCCATTTAGCTTCTGGATACTAGACCAGCTCTTCAGTCCCACTTCTTCACATCAAATTGGGTGTTAGAAGGGGGCAGTCAATGTCATAAACCACTCTGGGCTCTCATGTAGAAGAAACAACAATGGAAAATATTTTTCCTTTTACCCCCTACTCCTCTTCTCTTCATGCTGACTGCTGAGAGGTTTTTAAAAGCCTATCACCATCATAAGCACATGGTTGGTTTTTACTCTTTATCAGGCACAGAGGAGGCAGGGCAGCCTTTTGAAATTTCTCAGCAGTCAGCAAGAATAAAGTGGGCATCCTAGTGGTAGGAGTAATTTTCAGCTTCCTGACAACAATTGGCAGAATGCTGGGAAAAGCTATTAAAAATGAAGTTCGATCGCCAAAGTCTGTTTTGGCCTATATTTAATGAGATGTGTCAGCTAGAATTTACAATAAGTGGCTAATTGTTAATAATAGGCCTGTCTAAGGCCTGTCTAAGACACTCTGTGACTTCAGCACATCTACACAATACAACCCCATGTGCTTGCTGGGTTTTTGTGTTTTGGGGACAACAGGTCAACTTATTTCTGTAGTGAAGGAACAGGATGTGACAGGAATAAAGGTATCATTAACTTTATAAAAGTGTATTTATTATTTATTAATGAGCATATTAGGGGGTAAATTACAATAAATAAGTTAAAAATTAAAAATGAAGATGTAACCTCAATATAGTTGTGGCTTTTCTTCCTTCATAATTGTACTTGGGAACAGAGCAACATGTCTATGGGGAAGGATTTTTGTGCTGAAGGCACTGTCCAGCAGTTGCAAAGGTTATTGTGTTACTCTGGGCAAGTTACTATGTCTCTCTTTGCTTCAGTTTTGTCTGTGAAAGGGAATCACACCTAGCAAAAATGGAAAATCTATGCACTTTGAAGTCACAGAGGGTTAGTCATATAAAATGGATTTATGACAATGACTTAATATGACTAAATCTAAACCTAATATTCTTAAACGTTTGAATACTAAGCTTTTGAAGTCAGCTATGTCTATTAAATTAAACCACAATCAAATTCCAGGAATTTTTTTTACGAACATTTTGTGTCAACAGGTTTGTAGTTTGCTTGAAATTTTAGTTTCATGCTGGAGGGTGCATTAGGCCAGTGCTCAATGTTCTGTCATCCCACTGTAATGTAGGGATAACCAGGACTATGGTACTAGGGCAGTCTCCTGACTGTGTCGTGTACTCAAGGAAGTTGCTGCCTGAAGTATTTAGTGCTGCAAATTTGCTTCCAGGAATTAACTAGTGCTATGCTTTCATTTCCTTCTGTCCTTGCATAGTTTGGTAAAGTTTCTATGGAGGGGTGATGTCTTCTATTAAATTCGTTGATATAGTTGAAGGAAGGAGAAGAACTTTAAGAAAAAAATCATTTTTCAGCTTAGAAACAGAACAGGTCTTGTCTAAATCCCATCACCATCATAGACAAAATACCTGTTGCTTCTGGCTTTGCTACTTAGCAATCATTTTTCTCTAGCAAAACCAGAACCTCCTTCTAAAGACAGTCTACTTCCCAATTTTCTTTATCAGACTTTTGTGTTTTCTGATAAAGAACAAAACCTGGGAGATTGCTTTCCTTGCTAGGAATCTTAGAAAGCATTGTCTTAATGATTAAATACAAGTATCAAGAAATTACAAGAATGATGTGCTTTTATACTTACCTTTAAAAAAAATAAATCAAAACTATTTGTTGAAATAGAGGGAAAACCGACAGAAATTGTGGACACTTTTAATAGTACCTGGTAGAAACAAGTTAACTGGTAGATGCTCTAGCACTGCATATGTTGAATAGGCACCCAGACATTAGCAATGCTGGAAAATCGTTAACACTGCATGTGCTTATGGTGGATGTGCATGCTAAATGAATAGTTTGAATTAGAAAGTGAGCTTGAGAGGTAGATGGCACATCATTATAGAGAGCTATACATGGGAATGGGTCTTGCTAATTGAGCTTGAGGTCCAATATTTCAGTCAGGTTTTTTTTTGTTTGTTTGTTTGTTTGTTTTTGGTATGGAAGTGATTTTTCTTGATAGATTGAGTAACTTGTAAGCAATAAGCTTTTATCTTTTCTTTCCACCTGTCCAGCTGCCAATTACTTCTTTAAAATGCTGTAAACCCATGAAATGCAGGAGAAAGTTATGCCCCCCCCCCACACACACTCCCAGAAGGGAAAAAAAAGGAAAAAAAAAAAAAATAGAGAAAGAAACAAAAAGTGAAGCAAAGCTGCCCAGCCTTGGAGCCAATCTCGCTGTCTCACTTGTAAGCCACTCTCACTGAGTCTAAAAAATGTCTCTCTTTCTGTTGATATCTCAGAGCATAAGGAGATAGGGCACAGATGTCTTACTGAGGTTTACAGAATAAAGTAGGAGACATAGTAGCGGTGTTGCTTCCTTATCTGTTCCTCTCCCTGCTCATGATGTATTTTGAGGACTTTTTAATGCATTTTCTTCCTTCATTTACATTCTTTATTTTCTTATTCCAGGTACCGCTTTTTCTTTCTTCTGTCACACTTTCCCCTCCTTTTCTCTAAGGAAAATAAAACTGGAAGATTTTAAAAATATTTGAACAAAATAAGCAACCATGCTGTAATGTGTACACAGTTATGATGATAAAATTAAATTCGGTTTCTTGGACTTCTGTGTGGAACATTTAATTTCTTATTATGGAAACAAATGTTTAGTTAATTACTCATACACCACCTGGCTTTACTTTACAAAGTACATTTAAAGCCCTTTGAGATACTTTCAGGCTGGAATTTTGTTAGTTTATTAATGTGATTAGAAAAAATATCCAGGAATACCTTACCATCTTTCTGAAAGCATCATTTAGCTTCTCAATTAGTAAATTTCTGTAAAGCAGTCTGCATCTCATCCAAGATCATCTTACATCTCGCTTCCTTTGGCATATTGTATCTGATTTGCTCTCAATTATGTTGTATTCATTCAATAAATGGCTGGATCCTCTATAAATAGGTAGATGCTTTCCCCTTCTTGAGACAACAGGATTGAGAGATGACGGTTTTTGGCAGGTAATGGAATCACACTGGGGAGAAGTATGCCTGCAACTAAAGCAGAGAGGTGTCGGTGAGGAGCAGCCAGTGATCTCAGAGGAGCCTGAGAGAACGTCCTGTGAATCAAAAGGGACAGGACAACAATTTTCTGCAACTTTTCTTAGTTAACTGAGTTAACTGCAACCATGACTTCAGAAATGATCCAATGGGAAAGAAAGTTTTATTCTACCTTCTCTAGTTGTTTTCAGATTTCCTTATTTTTTTTAAATATAAAATCAATTAAATTGTAGTTCACTTTCCAATCCTTCCCCCCCCCCCCCCTTTTTTTTTTTCAGTTTTAAGGTTTCAAACTTTGTAGGATTCCTTGTGTGCTTGCTATCGAAGCTCTTAACTCCAAGAGCAGCCATCTGAAACAGCTCTAGCAAAGATAATGGTAGACCTAAAGAGACTTACAGAGTTATGTTTTTGCAACCTAGAAACTTTTATTGCAGATAGTGCAAATGGGCAGATGTTCAACAAGGATCTCAATAGTTTTATACACTAATAACTGGGTTTAGATTTCTGGAGATATTTTGATATAATAGACTGGGTTATTCACCAGTTTTGCAATCAATGCAGTATCACATCACCTTGTGGTGAACTAAGCAAATGAGTTTAAAATTAATTTAAATGACGTTGCTAGAAAAAAGATTATCTTGTCAGTATTTTAGTAAATGGTAATTTTTGTGGTAAAAATCTTTTAAAATTTGCTTCCTGGCAACTAATCTGGTAGTCCATCTCTGTACAAGTGGATGAGCTCTGATTTCTTTAAAATTTGTTGGAAAAATATTCTAATGATGCATATGAACAGTATATCCTTATTTGTTGTTATTGTGGTTTATGGATGAGTCATGAATCATTCATACTGGATGTTGACTGTCTTCTGAGTTTTCTTTGTTGTTGCTCTGTCTTGAAGAAAGTAGTAACACATAGTATTCATATAGAAAAAATATAAAACAAAGGGTTTAGGAGACCTTTCTTTTCAATTAGGACCATTGTAGGATGGAGAAAAATGTAAGCTTCATTTGCTTAAAGGAATAATGCTTCTCCTTGATAGTGATTTGAAAAGGTATAAACCTTGTACTGCTATTCAGTCATGTGAAATTGGGGCACATTTTTATTCTAAATTGCCGTGAAGTTGTAGAGGATATCTGGCTAATTTCCAAGTCAAGCATGATTACAATGCTGTGCCTTCAACAAATTTCACAGAACAAATTTAGCCTTCAAAGGCATGAGAGGTTAAAGCTAGGTCAACTGACATCCTTCTTGCACAACAGCATGTCTTCAGTTAATTATGTTGCATCTAAATGTATGTTCTGTGTTGTCATACTGACTACACTAAGCCTAAAAATACTAAAAAAGAAAACATGTAATTGATGAATTCACAGACTGTCAGCATGGCATATTTAATAGCTTCTTCAAATGTATTAGTGAGGAGTTTCAGCTCAGAGCCCATTGTCCAATGCTGCAACAGATCTGTCCTACAAGCAAAATTTTACTAAGTTTTAATAAATTTAATACTGTTTTTCAGGCTATGCTCTACTAACACATGTATGAAACCATTAGAATGCATCAAATCAGCATTAGACTTCTTGCAATATGAGGTGTCTGCAGAATTACATATTCATTATTTGACCATAT